ATTCCTCTTCTCAAAATATTCACGTTCCTGGGATGCGAACATTCGCCTCAACTTGTGTTTGTCCCCAAGTTGTGTTCAGATCAAAAGGTACGGTTCGGCAACCTTTCGAGAACTACATTTTAAGTTTACAACATATCAAAATGTTGCCATTAGCAATAATAGCTTGCAAGTTCCTAACTTTTTATGTCGCGCAGAGGAGAGGGAATGGTTCATACATCTGTCTAACTAACTTTAAGTGAGTTGAATTGAACTTCTGATGAAACAGAAAATATACAGTGATGACTATATCAGATCTTCTAAATTCAATACGCAGAAATTGACCTGCCCTTATAATAACATGCTAACATAAGTCGAAAGAATAAATACTTTGACACTCGTTGAGAAACGTTCACCGACCGCTAACTTGTCCCGATCTGCCATGGGCCTCATTTCTCGGGCCCTGACAGCAGCCGTAGCGATTAGTATTCTTAGGCGGATAGTAATACCGGCAAAGACAAGGGTGGCTTTACATATTGTATTGCCACGAGGTCCACAGTTTAACCCACTATTGCAGCAACACTAATCACAAAATGAATTATGCCTATGTGTATAAACTATCCGGTCATGGCTTCTTTCATATATGGCCTGAAACAAAAATGATTACAATATAATAAAATGGCAGGGTCAGTTGCCAAGGGTGTTTTGCCCAGACAAAGGTGATCGTCGAGATATTGACCGAATAAGTCGTTAGCATGTCTCCAGAGGCCTTTTCCACAACATCTAATAGCGGCAGCCAGTGGAGAATATTTGTTATAGGAACCTAAGCGCTGTGGATGACAATATGTTATTACCACATTATCCATGGATAACTAAGATGTGCAGCCGCCTCCTAACACCAAAACCCTCTAGAGGAAATCTTGGTATTTCTGTCGCTGGCCCCCATGAACCTTCTATTACCTGAGATGGGTACTAAAGTTTTAGTAGGCAATGCGCTTTGTCTGATAAGTGTTATTGGTAGTGCAAGTAGTGCGACATGCGACACAATGACTTCGCCTTGACGGTTGTATGACCTACACAGGATATTAAACAGGAGCAGGCTGCTCAGTAAGTTGGTGTTCGCGCTCCGTATAAAAGATATTTCTAAGGCAGCCTAGGCAAAATTCTGACGCTAACCAAGAGCCCGGAAAATGTTTTAATATCCATGCAGGCCCAGTTCATGGAAGATGATGATTTGACTCTGCTGATTGTTTATGACGAGCAAGGAAATAATGTCTTTGTCTTTTAGCTTCATGCCAATGCCATGGGAGAATACGCCAGGGCAACATCTGTCATTAAACTGGACGCTTTACATACCCGAGGACGCTAGAGAAAACCTCTCCTCTGAATGTTTGGATTTCATCTATAAGATGCTCGTCAGACAGCCCAGTGACAGAATGAGTCTTCCTATGGCCCGTGATCATGCCTTCTTTGCACGTGTTCCTTGGCGTAGCCTGACTGGGCTCTGTGGACCAAACCTCACGAAATTTCGCAGTCAAGAGTCGACTGAGAAACGCCAGAGCGGCGGAGTCGTTCATGATCCCTGTCACCATAAAGCCGACCCCGCATTTATACAACGCTATGGCAAGTGTCCAAAACCAAAACTGAAACAGGAAAAGAGAACTGCTTCTTATTCTTCTTCCTCTAGCAGGAAGATCTCTGCGTCCACCGCCTCTGCCCTCCGTAACAAGCGTGCGTTGAAAGCGAAAAGGAAAGCGGCCAGAAACCTGTCTGAGGGTAACAGTACCACTTCGTCTGAACGAAGGCCTCACGGGCTCACTGGTCGCCGGGAGAAAGCAAGATACTCGAGGCAATCAGTGCACTAAGCAGGAACAATATATCTAATTTAATGTCAATCGGTTTATCGCCTCGGTAGAGGTTTCTGCTTGGTCTAAATTCAAACGCAGAATGAAGATTGGCTGACTAAAGAACAGGAAAAGCTGACCTTTTCTTTTCTGCGTTTGGACTTTGGGTGCTAAGCAAATTCATTCACGCCCATTGCGAGGCCCATAAATTTCCCGTTGCTGTCCGCCGTGACCGATGTTGGCATGCTTTCATGGATAATTGTGTGCGGCATTTTCACTACCTCTGTCTATCTCATCTTCCCATGAACATCTACCGAATATTCGGCAAATGAATGCTGTTTCTTTTTGTGCTGTTTGGCATTCACTATTGAGCATTTCCACATTTCCCTTCAAAAGTGAGTGCATTCTTTCTCTTTCCAGAAAAATTGAAATTCTGCCTTCCTTGTTGCTATACTGCATATTACACGAAAGATGGAGATTCTAAGGATGTTTTGCACTGAACGATATTCAGACGAGTTCGTCGCAAAGGTAATCAACAAGTTCCTGACTTCGGGTGCCATAATATTGATAGTTCAGATGAACATGTTTCGTTCCTGACGATGCGTGGCAAACCGCGTTAAGCCTTTTCTGGTCTTGGGCTGAAGACCTAGAACATGACAGGGACCTCGACCAAGTGAGATATCATATCAACCTAGATTTTAAGCTTCACATCATAACTATGTTCCAGTTAATGAGTGTCTTTCGACCCGGGCTTGAAAAGGGGCTGGGAAATCAATGGGGGCTAAATAAGCTTATGTTTCCTCCCGCCTTACACGGAAATTTGAATAAACCAGCTAATTCCTTCAAATTGATTAATATAAAATGATTGATCCTCGCGTAACTGTAGCCCGAAACCTTCAAGTCTTTTTTTGTTGCTTATCATTTGAAGGCCCGTAAGAGCCGCTTATTTTGAGATGCTGCGATATTAAGTCAACTTTCCAGTAAACTCAAATTGTTATCAAGAACTGTGAGCGTTACATCCTTTCCGACCAATGGACTCATGCACATTTAGTCTATTTATAAGCATCGGGGTTCCAGATTATCTGAAATTCTCTATTTCTTTAAGCCAAGAACGCGACGCAGAGATGTTGAGAGGTTTGTTTCTGCAAAGGGAATAAGTTAAACCTTTGTTGTGGAGACCTATAACAAAAGTAAAGAATCTATGTAGACACCCTGAACTGGCGCTAGCTGAATCTTGCATTTGTTGAGCCGATATTAATTGCGCCAACCTTTATCCTAGATTGTTGGGAGGGGCCAGAATGCCGCAGATCCTGCACGTTACACATAATTAATTCAGTAGCGACAACGACAACTGCGAATGAAATATGGCTGCAGAAGAAAACAACTGAAATAGGGCGAATCGGTGTAAGGGAGATAGTCGGCGTGAGAGGAGGACCTTCGCAGCAAAAACACGTTTTATTTCCGTTCTCATTGCAATATATTTTATAAAAATTCATATATGCAGACAATAATTTCTCATTCTAAGATATCTTCTTTAGTAACGTTCGCTCACTTCGAATTTTTCTCATGCTGTTGTAGTCGACATGGGGAAATGACGGCACCCGATAATCACCAACTAGTTTGCTGAGTGGTTTTTCAAAATTGCAGCTAATTTAAACGTAAGATTAAGTAATTGATAACTCACTACGTATTATATCGTGCATTTACCTACCGCATCTAGTATTGTCAGTGCTGGCACGATTTATGAAGTTTCTGGAGATAGAAAAGAGACCAAAGTTACTGCCGGTCATCATGGCATCCATACAAACTTTTGCACAGCCTCCTTGTCTATGTGTAATTTGCTTCCGCCGATCTTGTACCGATAGTGTTTGGGGCACTTCTGACTGACGACGTTTAGTCTCCTTCTCCGTGAAACCCAAGTGAACTTCATAGCTCCACCTACTTCCTCTTGCAGTCATCTACCGTGAGCACAGGACGATGAAATTGGGTGATGGATGCTCATCGGTTGGTTATATGAGCCCAGAGCTTAATGGTTGGAGCGTTGAGCTTCTAATCAACAGATCTCGGGTTCGAGCCTCGGGTGGTTCACCACCTGGAGTTGGGTATGACTCACTCGTGACAGCTACTAGGCCGGAAATGGCCATTCAAGTTTCCCCTGTCTTTGTTGGTAATGTACTTCTATGTTGTGACGGATAGTTGAAGGAATGCGCTTGCCTCAAATATCCTCTTAAATTATGAATAGAACCTTGCACCAAAGATGCGTAATAGTATAGGTTCATCCGTCCGGCATAATACAGCAAGAAGACGCCAATGAAGCCCAGGACGATGGATTATCAAGGGAAACGGGTAACCCCTCAGTCTATTTGCTGACTACCTGGCGCTTTCGCAGGTAGCGAATAGTAGAACGACCTTCAGTGAGGGTAAGCAGGCTTCTGGGTCTGGCCAATAAGCAGTTGTGGACCAGCACCGGCGTGGAGAGCTGATATCTGGCGCACAGACTGCCTTATAAAATTCCGCAAGGCTCAATGATGGTGACGATGAACCATCATTAAATAAGTTTGCTTACCAATGCTACCTTGTGGTTAGGTTCTAGAGACTAAGTTCTAGAGGAGACAACCTCGAACAAACAATCCGAGTGGCTGTTGGGGACCCGCCTGTATTCCAAATCTCCATGAACCCTCATGCAAATTTATACTTACAGCAGCATGATCCGAACTACAGCCTCCACGAGAACGGACGCGTTCTGAAACCCTTGTCCAGTGGTGCTAACGAATAGTATGCGAGCTGAATCACGCAATCGGAAACGAAATCTTAGCACTGGATGCGGGAATGTGGGAAAAGTTCTGGAACCTGGTACCGAAAGTCTGACGGTGCGCATTCTTCATCAATGCCACGTAGATGCTTGCCACTTGTCCGAAGTCCGAATCCTCGACTCGGGCGTCCGGGAAATTAAAATCCCGGGAGTCAATTCCCATCACACCCTGTATCACAGCTGTCCATGTGAATCTTCTGGTAGACCCGGTGTGTCTATTGACCTCTCGCAACAAGCATACTCGGCACGACTGGCATGGGAACCAGTCAATGAGCAGATGGTTTACTTGCGCCTACACTGTCACTTTACAAACAGCTATATCATCGCTGTATATGTACCAATATCAGCTGCCGAAGAGCAAGAGAAGGTGAAAGGCTTTTTCGATGTGATCTGTTGATTGTTGTCGGGGTTAGAATGGCCGGACTGGGCCCATTTTCGGCTTGACTCTAGACCCGACAATAGTGAGAGAATGCTGCATTTGGCTAATCAGAACTGACTTTGCCACCAACACATGCTTTCAGCATCGTAACAGTTGGCCTGGTAATCAAACGACGGCTACACCACCAGTCAGATCGGGTTTCGCAGCTGGGTCTACGATAACCGGTTGATGCATGGTGCCGAAACTAGTAACGCTCATGGATCTAACCATGTTTTCGTCCGTACGAGCCTGAAGGTTCATCTCGCCTCTGCGCCCAAAATGTCACTTGTGAGACACCTTGATGTCGCAACAGTCCAGCACTACCGAGGCCCTAAGCACAGAAACCCATCCCG